AAACATAGAGCTTACCTTATAGAAGCTTTACCAAATGCTTACTTATTTAACAAGAAAGCTAAAACTCCCCTTCTAATCTTTGATCCACAATCACAGAGTCTTTAGATATAGACCTAGAGAAGGAATCAATTTCAAATATTTATTTAATAGATCAATCGTCAAGTATAATTTCAAGATATTCACACTTGTATTATTCCTTTACTTTACATATATGACATATCAATTAGTTTACTGTCATTTCACTTTATCATAATCTAACTTCACATATTCATATACCAATTACATGTCAATAAAAAGTCATTACTAATCATTTCAAAACTTAACATATAAGACTATAATTAGGTTATTACTTGTGGAACAAGCAACCACATGGTTTCACTTACATACCTACACTAGGAGTGACCCAAGGGTGTATCCTAGGTAACGATTGATAATTAACAAAGTCTTAAGCCCACAAATGCCTATATATGGCCGAAGCCATAGGCCTAGGCACCATTTGCCTTTCACACCTCAATTCATCATAACTTTACCTATTAGCTTAGACAATGTGCAAGGACACACCTTACAACTTACATAATCTCAAATTGAACTAGGGCTCTCATTAGCCCCTATCACTAGTTATGTACTTCATTTACTTGATTCACAAGCAATTGTCCAACTAGTGACCATAAAGGTCCATCTAGGGTTCAAACTCTTCAAACACCCCATAGGTTATTCAAATCACTTAATTAAGTCCATTTATCAAACTTATAGTTCAAACAACCCTAAAACCCAATTATATCTTCATTAAGCCCGAGGCCCATGTACTTAGGGTTGAACTATACTACTTTAACTTAGCCCACAGTTAGTTGCTATAGCAGTTAAATAATTAAAACTCATCTCTTGTCTCATTTTCCCATACAAGAGGGCCAAGAAGGCCGAGAGCATGCAATAGGCATATCAAGGGATTTTCCAACAAGTGTCAATGGATTCTTACATTGAACTTCAACAACCAATATGGTATTTGTCCTTCCATCAATCAATGAAGATTAACACAATCCCAAGTCTCTTTTTCACTATATAGGCCGAAGGCACACCTAGGCAAGTCAAGAAGGATTTTCAAACTTTCATGCAACATTGACATGACTTATCCCATCTAAGTCAATTTCACAACACACCATAAGCCTATTATATCCATCATGTGAATTTAACATAACAAATCCCCAAAATCATAGGTTGGCCGAAAATCATATATAGTGTTTCTAAACCATTTTCAAATTTCCAACACATCCAAACTTGCATTCATACTCTATGACCATAATCTTTCATAAACACACCATTACACTATCAAATTCATTTTTCACAATCCATGGCTTTCCCCCCAATATATTCATGAACAAAGAATCATGGAACAAGCATTAAAACCACAGGAACAAGCTATCTTACCTTGAATGGCTTCAATATAACCAATGCTTCAAGTTTCAAGCTTCAAATCATTCAAAATCATGAAAACTTCTTCACTTTGTGAACAGTAACTCGAGCTACATAAGGGGAAAGATCTCTCACTCCAATACTTCGCAACTAGAAATAGTGGGTGGGTTTTGATCCTTAGAGGCAAAGGAACAAATTTCATGTTATGTGTTTCTTGATTTGATGAAAGGAAATAGATGGAAATGAAGAAGGAATGAAAAAAACCCAAACCCTAAAGATGAGGAGATGGTCGCGGTTTTTGTTGGAGGAAGGAAGGAGAAGATGAATTTTGATGTTATGTCTTCTCTCTCCTTGCCATGTCACTTAAGTGAGTGAGCATTTGAGCTGACTTTGACTTCCACTCTATTCTACATAACATTTCTAACTTAAACCACTTATAACTTAACCCCAAAAACATAATTTAATAATTATGACATCATTTACATAATTGCCTCCTTTCAGAGTTTCTCCAATAGTTTTCATAGCAACACTTTACCCGACAGAATTTTACTATTCACATTTTTTTTTCTCGAAAGGTTTCAGAATGCTCTAAATCATAAGCTTATATTAATTTTACCATTCTTATTACCAAAATAATCCTTTTTCATATTATCATATTAATTATATGATTTACTTGTCTTAAATACCAATTAAATTCTTAATAGTGGGTTTTTGCATAACTGCTGTAGCGGTTAAATTACCTGTTGTAGCACATTCCCATATTCACTTGATTCTTGTACTCTTGACTTCTTATTGCTTTCCTTGCCGATGCAGGTTGTTATAAGTTACTTAGTACAGGTAGGTAGGCTTATGCATTGTTCACCTTTCAAGCCTAGTGGACTCTTGTGTGAGAGTGCGTGTTAGAGTAGTATAAACCATTAAACAGGCCCTCACCCAACAACTTAAGCTCTTGGGTTGAATTAGTTCTTTACATCGAGTAAGGATAAAAAGATACGTATAATATTTGATACGCACCTAAGCAAGGAGGCTGATGGTCCAATGACTAAGGTTCAGGAACCAGGGACATAGGTTTCACGAAGAAGAGGTAAAAAAGTGAAGATTAGATCTGGATGGCTAAAAGACTTTGTGACTAATACGTGTGGCACTTAAAAAACCTTGTGACTCATACACGTGACTCTTCAGTCTTCATGAAGGTGTCTATTATACATCTTCTATTGGGCTTACCGTGGGGGCAATACATTTGCTATTGATTCTAACAGAATGAATGATAAGGAACGAAGTTGTATTTTCTTTTTTATCTTAAAATTGGATAATTGATTTATCTTCTTTCTTATTTTGTATTATGGAGTTGATGACATCCTCGAATTGCCGCCGTGGAGTAATATTTAGTGTTTTTTTTTTTTGAGTTTCCTTAAGGTATCTCCTGGCTGACAACCAAAGACTAATCATTTCTTGGTGTAGACATCTCTGGAGTGAGTTTTGCTTCTATAAACAAAGTCTTTTTCATACATACGACTAGGGGTGCTAAACTAACCAAGGGTCTTTGGCTCGACTCGTGAAGGCCTAAGCTTACATGTCTAAAATTGATTGTTGACACCAGGCTTGAACTTGTATAAACGTTCGTTTAATAAAAAGGCCTCAGACTCAAATTCAAAAGCTCGGCTTTATTGCCTCTCAGGTAGGCCTAGTGTGTATATATATATAAAACTAAAAAAATCAAAAAATGAAGATACTTATACTGATACTAAGGAACACAATAATATCGATAAAAATGGGGAATTGGCTTTAATACGTTATGCACAACAACCGGGTTTTCGACGAGACATAATAACAGGATCTATACACGCTCAAGGACGTAAGACAGTCACGTGGAAACTGTTTCAAGAAAGTCCACATTCCCCCCATTTTTTGGACAAAATAGAGAAAACCCCCTTCTTTTATTTTTTTATTTTCGAGTCAATGAAATTATTTTTTCTGTTCAAAAATTGGATGCAGAAAAAGATAGAATTTAAAATTTTTGATTCTATGGCAGAGAGAAAGACAAAAGAAAGTGATAAAAAGGGAGAGAGTAAAATACAAAAAAAGGAAAAAGAGACAAAAAGACGTATAGAAATAGCATAAGCCTGGGATGACGTTCTATTTGCTCAATCCGGCTACCTCATTTCCTTATATCAATTGATTCACCTTTGAATGGTTATGATTCCCTTTTTCTCTCTTCCTTTATCACCATTGAACTATCTTTGTACGGTTATGATTTAGTAGCCGGAGATAAGATTATCTCAAGCAGCTTGAGAAACGATAAGCCCATATATATATATATATATATATATATATATATATATATATATATATATATCATACTACTTGTAATAGCCCTCTCTTTCTCCTGAATCCATTTCACCCATTTTATTGGTTAAACAGATTTTTTGAATGATTTTGTTTGATATTATGTTGTTTGGATATACATTTAATTTATGAATATTTATGGAATTACTAGTGTTGTTGATTATATATTCTTTTTGGATAAATTTTGGTTGTCTTATTTTTTTGAACAGGCTAAGCCAGACTTTTATTTTTTGTAAATAAGTCAGGCCACATGCCGATAATTATATTTATAACAGGTAATAGGCTTGGTCATGCTGACACATTTAAACACAGGCTTAGTCTTTTAAGACCAAAGCTCGGCTTGTTAACACCCCTACACACGGCCAAAGATCGAACCTATCAGAAAAAAATAGGCTTAATTTCCTTTTGCTGAGGGACTCAACCATTTACTAATTGTGCCGGACTTTGTTGGTATGTTTAGTGTTTTCTTAATTCCAATTGTCTTGACTTGATTGTTATCAATATCTTATCCTATATAAATTTATTTAAAAAAATAAAGACTTTAAAAAGGGGGCAAGATAGTAAAATGATAAATAAAGTAAAAAAAATGATTTAAACATCCTTATATATATATATTTTAAAAATTTGTCTTAGTTAAAAAAAAGTAAAGTATCTTTTGTGTTCTCAACAAATATCACAATGTCCAATTTAATCCATTAGAAAAAAAGTCAACTTCTGATTCATGTGAAATTCAAAATAGATCAATATTAATTTTTTTTAAAGGAACTAACGTGAGATTTCTTTAAATTTCAAACGTAGCACAATTTTAATTGTCTGAGTTTATTTTGAATTTTAGAAGTTTCACAAATAATTTTTTTTTTTGTAAAGAATAAAAACATGCTCCATAATTTTTGTTGAGATCCTAACAAATAATTTACACTTAAAAAAAAAAAGTGGAGACTTTGGGGAAACTTTTTTTCATTTCATTTGGGGAAAAATATTGATTCGGCCACCTGGCATGCTACAAACAGAACGATGACCTCTGTCACGCTCAAGCGGTGCTGTTGCCATGAGTGACTCTTTTCCTCTCTTTTTCTTTTCTTAATTTCCTATGACACACTTCTCGATTCCCAGCAAAAAACCTCAACTCTCTCAAAAGGGTTTAAAGGCCTCTTAATTCTCGAAGCTTTTGTCTTTCTACTTCAGACTCCTATTCCCACTAATATGCATTAGTTCTTGAATGCCCAAGCCCCGTGTCTTGCAAAGTGGAATTTTAAGCATTGCCCTTGATATTAATGCGTGTAAAGATTCAAGCTTTCATGTTGGATATCAGTTTTTTGTTTGCATATTCATGTGGGTCATTGTTGTGTGTCTCAGTTTCAGCAAAATGATAAAGGTGTAAGTGCGATGTGAGGAGGGTTCTTCTTTCTATTTGGTTCAAGGTTAGCTTTGTGTACTTTTCAACTTGAAGAATGAATTTGTTTGTGGGGTAGATTTCATTTCTTGCTTGGAAGTTACAACACCCTATTTGGCAAAAGTAAGGATTTTTTGGAAATTAGAGTGAAGTGGACATTTTTTTTTTAGAAGCAAAAGGATGATACAGTTGTTGTTTTTGGTGCTTTTTGCTGAGGGTGTTCTGGCATTCCTTTTGTTGGTGAAGATAGGGCCATTGAGAGATCTTGTGATAAAGAGTCTGGATCAGCTGAAGATGGGTAAGGGTCCGGCTACAGTGAAAACTATTGCTGGTACCATGTCTGTGATTCTCCTTTCAAGCCTTATGAGCATTGTTAAGATCCAGAACAAAGGTGCTAAGCTTGGTACTATGTCACCAATGGATCAAGTTCTGTGGAGAACTCACTTGCTTGAGGCTTCACTCATGGGTGCGTTCATGCTCCTTTTATCTTGGTCATTTGCAGCCTTTGTTTATTGTGTTAAATTTTTAATGCTTATGGGTTTTATTAGCTATGCGGCTCTTCCTGTAAAATTTTGTGTTAATTTTCAATTGTTGCAAAGAAGTGTTTATGTGCATTTTTTGCTTGACTCTTCTTTAGTTTGGGCTTTAGTTGAAGTTGTGAAGTATTTAAATTTGATTAGTGTTTGATGGATTTTTCTGCTGACCATTTCTGTTAGCTCTAAACCAAAAGGAAATATTATCAATGCGTGTGCTTATTCTTGAAAGCAATAAATTTTGGTTGCAGTATGGCAATGGTTGTGTTGCGGCTTCTTGCATGCCATGCGGGATGCAATCACGGCGATGTTGTGGTCGCTTCACGAAATGTGGTCTAAGATTTAAAATCTTTCATGAAAGATAATGAAATAATGTGCTATTGGGTGTTGATGGTCTTTGGTTTTTTCTTTTTTTCTTAGCTTTTGTCTTGCAATGGAAACATAATTATATACACTAGAAGAATATTCTTCTGCATATGGTTTTTGTTATTGATGGTTTGTTTCTCTAAGTAATGTGTGTAGTTCATAACAAAAATGATCAAATTTATTATTTTCTTTGTATAACCATTTGATTAAGGCCTGAGTAAGTTAAAAGTTTTGGTGCTCTATTATTGCACTTGTTTTGGAAAACTATATCTATAATCTCTTCAAGCCAAGAAAAAACTCAAAGGAATACTGGTCATTATTAAGTTGCTATTATAAGTTCACACATAAAAATTCTCTTTTGACTCACTAATCAGCATATGGCGTTCCGTATGTGTTATACTTGTATATCATTGATAGCTCTTATTCGTAAATAGTTTTGATGATTGATTTCTAGCTGATTTGATTAAATGCACGTATTTAACATTACATATTTATATGTTTGTAATAATCATGATTCATGAGTTTTGACTTTATTCGTTAACTTCTTTATTTTATTGATCTTTTTTTAACTGATTATGTGATTCATGTGAGGCGAGTACTAATATCTTGCAAACTTGCAATTGTGTATGTCATGAAATGATGAAATAATTATGAACAGATTGGTTACCTGAGTATCATCAAATTGTAAGAGTTGCTTTAGTTATATTGGTAATAAGCATAGACTTATGAGTACTATTCACGATTTCGTTTTTAAGAAATTATAGAAGAGTAGCTGTTTGCCATTTATTGTGCTTTTTTTCCTCTGAAACTGGAATCACTTGCTAATGGACTATATTTGGATGTCATTTCCTTCTCCTTACTTGATTCATCAGTATAAAAACTTTCCTGATTGTTTTACTATGTTGAAAGTCAAAAGAAGGATTTGTAACTTGCTTTATTACTCAATTAATAACTGTGATAACTTAGAATTAGAAACTCCATTCTCCTTTATGTTAATACACCACACCATGCATGTTGTATTTCTTGGATTTTGCTAGGCACTTTTTGAATTCAACTAGTTACTCTTTCCATATTCAAACCTACTTTAGCTTTTCTTAGTTTTAGTTGACACTGTAAGACTTTAGATTTGTGGCTCTGGGCCTTGAGTGAGCAGAAATTAACAGTAAAAGGAAACAACAAGAATGGGTAGGAAAGAATCAAGAACGAGAGCTTTATTTCTTAAAAGACAGACTACAAGAACAATTGTTCTTCACAAGGGAGACTCTCCCTTCCTCTGAGCATAGACTCAGATTTTACAAACTAAATCCCAAATCCCAACCGTATTTCCCTTCCCATAAAACTACCCTTTGTAACTACTTCCTAACTGTTGTCCTTTTCCTTTGGTTTATTTTTACGGACATAAAACTTCCACGTGGCAGGCTGGCCCCCTTGAGCAATACCAATTGTATCAATACCTCCTTGCGAAAAACCTTGTCCTCAAGGTTGAACTCAGGGGATTGCTGTTGAGTCGTGGATAAGTCCTCCCAAGAAGCCTCCTCAAGAGGGTGGTGCTGCCACTGAATCGATACCTGCTCCCTAGTATCCCCTTGCTTTTCCACGACCCTACTACAGTCCAACACAGCAGTTGGTACATACAGATCTGCATTTACCTGAAGCTCTACTTGTAACTAAGACTGCACTGGGTGATCTCCCACAGCTTTCTTGAGCTGGGACACATGAAAAACGGGATCAATACAGGCCTTAGGAGGTAGTTGCAGTTGAAAGGAAACAATGTCCGCCTGTTTAATAAGCAAAAATGGCCCATAATACCGGGCTGCAAGCTTAGGATTTAACCTGGAGCCTAAAGAGTACTGAGCATGTGGTCGTAACTTTAAGTAGACATGGTCACCAACTTGTATAGGAGAGGTAGTATGGTGCACATTAGCTTTACAGCTCGCAACAAATGAAACCTTAATTTCCGTAAAGCTTCATCCCGGCTTAAAAGATCTTGAGCTACAAACTCGGTCATGGTTTCCCCTGGAATAAATTTCAGAATGGAGGGAGGAGCTTTGCCATAAACTATTTCAAAAGGGGTAACCTTGGCAGACGAGTGGTAATTTGTATTATACCAGAACTCTGTCCAAGGCAAAAAAGAACCTCAATCCTTGGGCTGTTCATTGCAATAAAAGCGCAAATATATCTCTAAGGTCCTTTTTACAACCTCTGTTTTCCCATCAATCTTCGGGTGATATGTTGTACTAAATTTCAAGGTTGTTCCTTGCAATCAAGGCCCAAAGCTCGAACCAACTTCTGCCCCACAAAATTGTTACTTGCGGCACTGTCGATGAGCACCAACATCTGATGGCCATGAACCTTCCCTCGAAGCTTCATGGTGATGGGTTGGGTTAGGCCACAAAGACAGCTCCAGCCACTGCTATTCTGGATTCGGCACTAACTTTGTATTACCCACTTCTTGACGAACGCCCTTCGAGTCAATGTCGTTGTCTCCAGCCTCAGATTCACCTTCACCAAGAATAGTGAGACAAAGTTTTTTGGCCTCGGATCTATGGCTTGGAGAGAAGGGAAGGCCGCAGTGGAAGCACCTACCCTCCTTGCGTCGACGCACGAATTCATCATAAGGAAGCTGACGATTCACACGCGAACGACGTTGAGAAGAAACCAGGGCTCCATATTGGGAATTTTTGGTCAAAGATGACAACTGTGAGGCATTACGAGACCCTCCGTCGTAAGAATTGGCTTCTTGAGTCGGATTGGGCCTCGGCCCGCTACTATTCTGATTTGGAAATAGGTTATTAGAGATTCCAGAAGAAGACGACCCAGCCCGCGAAGAAATTGTTCCTGTTTTGACCATTCAGAGCTTCCTCCAAACAACCTTGATCCCACACCTCCATAGCTCTTGGTCAAAATTCCCTTCGACGTCTCTGGCCAAATCTGTTTTGAGGATCATGGTGATGAACCTTCGAGCGTATGTCAACACGCAAACCAGCCAAGAAGTAACCTAATAACTGATCTTCGCTCACATCCTCCGCCTAAGCTACCAAAACCTCAAAGGTTCATATGTAATCGTCCACCGTCCCCTCTTGCCAAAGATTAGCTAATCGCTCATAGATACCACCTTGACTCTTGTCTCCATAACGCTGCACGAGTGCTTTGGTCAATTCTCCCCAATCAAGATTGGGTCGACTTTTTTTAAGAATTAACACCAATGTATTGTTCCTCCTTCCATACTAACGATTGCTAAAGGCACCTTCTTTGCTGTTAGAATTCCTTGAAGTTCAAAGAACTTCTCCGCTTTAGCAATCCACCCGAATGGGTCATACCCTTCAAAACTGGGTAACTCCACCTTGGACGTCCAATTAGAATCGTCTTTGGAACCCGAACTGGCGCCATGTCCTTCACTATGTGATGGTTCATCTGAATTCTCCCTGTCCTTTTTCAACGATATGTCCTTGAGAATTGAACGAATGTCGCTCAGATTTTGCACCATTTCGCTGGATTCCCGATTCAATACCTCAATGGAACGTTCCAAAGCCTCCACTCTTGTCTCAATTGAAGCCATCTATCCCTGAGCGAATCCGGCAGGTCGGACCACTGTTGTGGCTCTGGGCCTTAAGTGAGCAGAAATTAATAGTAAAAGGAAACAACAAGAATGGGTAGGAAAGAATCAAGAAAGAGAGCTTTATTTCTTAAAAGACAGATTTCAAGAACAAATGTTCTTCACAAGGGAGACTCTCCCTTCCTCTGAGTATAGAATCAGATTTTACAAACTAAATCCCAAAAGTCCCTTCAACAAAGACCACCTCAACTACTTATACCCATAACCGTATTTCCCTTCCCATAAAACTACCCTTTATAAGTACTTCCTAACTGTTGTCCTTTTCCTTTGGTTTTTTTTACGGACATACACCTTCCACATGGCAGGCTAGCCCCCTTGAGTAATACCAATTGTATCATTGTATGACCACCCTAATTCATCGTGTGGAAATGCTTGATGAAGATAAATATTGCTGGGCCTTTTGACTAGAGGACTGATATGATACTACCTTTATGGGCATTTAGGGAAAGTCATTTGGATGAGTCAGCAAATGAGTTGTTAGGTGTGACTAAAACAGAAAACGGTTAGGAAGAAATGGAGGGAAAAGCTAAATAAGTAGTGGAGGGCTGGGAGCATGAGAATAATCTTGGAAATTGCTTGGGACTTGGGACTTGGGAGTGAGTAGAGCCTCTCTAATTGCTCTACACTATCATTTTCTTTTTCAGTTTTTCACTTGTAATTTTCTGCCATTACCGTTCTATCTGTATTTTTTATCTACTTCAATTTCTTGTACTGCTGAGACTAATACCAATTTTGCAAGCTTTTGTTTTCATCTAAATACAGACTTTAGTTCTGTTTTCTGTTATTATTGGCTGAGTTCTTATCAATTTCAAGAGGTCTCTCCCAAATCTGGTTTCCCAGCCCATGTGCGTCCCAATTTCCTGATGCCCCTTCCTTTTCCTTTCCTCACATATATACAGCCTTCTTAACTAACTTCCATGTCAGCAATCCTTTCTCTCTCTCCTCTAACTGAATTGCCGTTGTCATTATTGAGAATATTCCCTTCTAACTGCCTGGTTACTGACTCAGCTTGAATTGAATTTCTTTGTATAAGGTGGAGGTATCGTATCAAGGACCAACTAGGTAAATGTGATTAGCTAATTGCCAAATTGTTTCTGCTTATGATATATTCATATAGTTCTTTGATTAGCTCTTCTATCATTACTTTTAGGTTTATATAGCATTTTCTTGTTGTTTTGTTTATTTTCCTGCAGCTTTATAACCATATTAATGTTTTTTGTATTCATTACCATTATATTTTATTTGTTTGTGGATTTAATATGTGTCATTTGGTGTGTTTTGTTATATTAATCATGTAGGCAATTCAGTAATCAAAGAACTATCAGCAAGGGAATGAGATCTTAGAACATGATACATTAATTGTGCATCTGTGTAGAAAGATTTTAAGGAAAAAGGACTAAATTTAGTTTCTGAATGAATTGGTAAAATGTGTACAACGCAATACAATATATAGGCTAAACTCAATAATTACTTTCCTAAAATAAGACTCAGTTTATGGTAACTAGCGACCTATCCCCGACCTATCCCCATCACAAATTAATTTACAATAATTACAAAAACTACAAATCTAACTAATGTGGGAATATTACAACACTCTCCCTCAAACTGTTGAATAGATATCAATCATTCGTAGGTTACTGGTAAGATCCTGAAACCTTTTTGTAGGAAGTTTTTTAGTTAACACATGCCAACTAAACCCTTGAGGAAACATATGTTGTGGTGGTCAGTCCACTATCCAGTTTCTCCTTTGTAAAATGCCGGTATATCTGAACCAAATTATGAGCAATGCTAATGAAGGGTAATAAATGCTTCTTAACACGTGCTGGGAACATGATAACAAAACCCTAAGTTATATACTATAAATTTTCATCTATTGGCTTTCTTTGTTGTTAGTTATAGAGTTGTTTTGTAGAAATTTGAGAAGTTCTGATTAGGGATTTAGTCAGTCTTTCGTCATGCTTTTTCTTAAAATGTTGATAAATTATATACTATTAGGTAGGTTTTCCTCTATTGGTTATCATCGCAATAAGGTTCTGACATTGTAGATTTTGAAGTATAGACCAAATATTCTAGGATAAGTATTTGAAGTATCTGCATTTGTTGTTGTGATGTTTTATTCATGTATTTATTTTTTGATAGAGGATGTGATGTTTTATTTGGCCATGTGATCAATATCATTTGCGTTCTATTCAGCAAGTTTATTCTATGATTAAGTGCATAATAAGCCATGATGCCCACCCAATCCTATCTATTTTTCTAGACTTTGTTTTGTCTGTCTGCTGTTAATCCAGTGAAGAATAACCATACATCTTTTTAGCTAGATGATCTTGTCTTAAATAAATTAGTTTGATCTTGCAGGTTTTACATTATTCCTTGGATTCCTAATTGATCGCATGCATCATTATCTCCAAAAACTTATTAATTTAAGGAGTAACGCGGGAGCTTCGAAAGAAGAATTAGAAAACCTTAAAAAAGAAACTGTCCAGCTCAAAGAAGAGGAAGGGAAAGCTTCCAAGGAGATAAAACAGCTGAAGGAGGATCTTTCAGTGATGTCAGAAAGTTTGAAAAAGATAAAGTTGGAATCTGAAGAGAAGGACACAAGAGTTGAGACTGCTGAAGCTCATGTTGCTTCCCTCCAAAAGCAAGCTGCAGATCTACTACTTGAATATGACAGACTCTTGGAAGACAACCAAAATCTTCAGGCTCAAACACTGGGACGCAAGAGTTAAATAAGGAAAGAGACTCAGATGCATTGATAAACATTGTTTTGGGGAAGAGATTCATCAGAAAATCATCTTTATTTTGGAAAGATGTAAAGGTTCATTTTTGGTCCTTCCTGAAAATGCAAGATTGACCATAATAGCTCTCTGCTCAAGTTTATAAATTTTGTAGTTCCCTTTAAACTTGATCACCATTTTGTTATTAGATGGTTGCTTAACAATTGCCCATCTAGTTTTTTTTCTTTCCTTTTTTTGATTTGAACGGGTAGATTTTAGTTCAAGGATTATTGGCGGGAGAAATACTTCTCAAGAATTAGAAAATAGTTTGTTGAATTTCAACTTTGTAATTGTGTCTCGGTGCATCTTGCATTCCATTTTATGCATTTAACCTAATTCTCTCAGGAGTAATATTGATGATTCTGATACCTACGCTCATTGTCTGGTTGGGTCACTAACCCGTGGAAAGCAACACATTTGTTAGCCAAACAATTATACATACAAATTTCTAAAGCATAAGATTGATGGGGTTTAGAAAGCAGTTGGGTGCTTCTACTATGGAGAAGGAAAAACATGTTATTTGAAACTGCCAATATGTTTGTGTCAGTATAATTTATTTATCTGTGGCCTGTTAGCTGTCATTTTTTTATTTTTATCTTCTTTTTTCCTTATAATTAAAAGTTTAGCCAATCATAATTTTACAAAAGTCTTTATAATAAAACGATTTTTATTTTATTTTTTATAATAAAGAGAAAAGTTAAAAACTAAAAGCTGTAGGAGTTTTTGTTAAGATGTATGTCAACTTTTTAGAGTTCTTATATTTATTTTTTAATTATATCCTTATTCTAATTTTTTATTTACCCTAATAACAAATCATTTCATCTCTTTTTTTTCAAAATTCTAAAAATAACTTTATACAATTATCAAATAGCTTTTAACTTTATTTGTTAAGTTTTTTTTTTTTTTAACTTAAACTTAAAAATATCTTTTAACTTAAAAAAAATTGTTCCAAACATGCTCTAGTAAAGCGTTTTACATAAAAAAATTATTTCTTATCATACTTTTATTTTCAGGTACATTTTGATTTACAATGGAAACAGTAATTTGACTCATACGCAGCATATAGGTGCTTTTTTATTTGCTTGAATGAGATGTATATGATAAATACATGAGTCCTTCTTGTATCCGTAGGTAGAACTGTGAAAAAGAGCTTAAGCCCTATCGCCAGCCCATGTAGCCCAATATTAAGTCCTATAAAATTTTAGTCCTCTATGTAATGGGACCATTTTAACCCTACCATCTTAAAGCTCTCTCATTATAGGGTTAGATTGGGGCTGGCCGGCAGGCTACAATATTCAACCCAATTTACATAAATATGAATTATTTTTAAATGTTACATATCTATCTTCAGTATTAAAATGTGAAAATTATATAAATATGAATCATTTTTAAATGTAACATTATTAGAAAAGTGTCAAATACTGACAGAATTTATCGACGAAAAATATTTTGTCAAAAATAGTGACGAATTTTTTTGATAAAAATCACATTACGTCAAAAATAGAGACGAAACAAGATTTGGCCATAATAACTGACATACATTATTTCGGAAAAAAATTCAGTCAAAATTCTTGATAGAATCTAAATTCCGTTGAAACTTTCAACAAAAATAATTTCGTCAAATTTTTCAAGGAAAAATATTTCTGTCCAAATTTTTCGATACAAAACAATTCTGTAAAAAATTTTGTCGAAAAATATTTTCGCCAAATTTTTTTACAGAAAACATTTGCATCAAAATTTTAAACGAAACACATTTCCAGTGAAAATTTCAACGAAAAATATTTCCGTAAAAATTTGTGACGAAAAATATTTTTGTAAAAATTGTTGACAGAAATTTTTTTTTGTCAAAATTCTTTACGAAATCTAAATTTCGTCAAAATATTTGACAAAAAAACATATTTGTCAAAATTTTCGACGAAAATATTTTCCTTTAAATTTTTAACGAAACACATTTCCATTGAAATTTTTAATGAAACACATTTTCATTGAAATATTTTTGTATAATGTTCTGACGAAAAATATCTCTGTAAAAAATTTTGACAAAAAAAAAAATTCGTCAAAATTCTTTACAGAATCTAAATTCCGTCAAAAGTTTTCGATGAAAATATTTTTGTCATACTTTTTGACGAAAAAAATTTCCGTCGAAATTTTCTACGAAACACATTTCACCGAAATTTTTTGACGGAAAATATTTCGACAAATTTTTTGATAAAAATCATTTCTATCAAAATCGACGAAAATTATTTTTGTAATAAAATTCGACGAAAAACATTTCAACGAAAAACAATTTCGTCAAAATTCTTTACGGAATCTAAATTTCGTCGAAAGTTTCACAAAAACATTTTCCTCAAAAGTTTTGAAAAAGGTATTTCCGTCGAAATTTTCATTGGGACACATTTTCATCAAAAATTTTGGACGGAAAATATTTCGTCAAAATTTTTGACGGAATTCTTTTTTCCGTCAAAACTTTTGGTGGAATTTTTTTATCGAAAATATTTAAAAAATCATTTTCATCATAACTTTTGACGGAAACTAAATTCGGTCAAAAATTTTGACAAAAAATTTATTTTTGTAAAAAATTTCTTCGGATAAAAATTCCATCGCTTTCAATGAAAAGTATTCGAACGAAAAAATATTTTTTCGTCGAATTTTTTTTCGTTTGCAACGTAGATTTTTTGTATAAAATATGATCTTTTTTAGTAGTGGAAAAAATACATAAAAAATTTAGAAGGCCCGCGGGCTGGCCCTAATCCCTAGGGCTTTGGCCCGTGCGGATCTATATCATTGTGGGCTTTTTGGCCCTGCGGACTTTTTTGCCCTAACCCACTTGGACTAGGACTAAATGGACTGTGCTGACCCATTTTGACAGCTCTATCCGTAAGTAATATATTTATATGATAACTATTGAAACTGAGAGAAAACTGAATCATTCTTGTTATTCAGAAAAGAATTCTTACACAAGTAAGCTCAATAGCAGTGATTAGTTGGTTGTATAAACCTTGCATCTGACGCGGAATTTACGCACACACTCACTTGCTGCAACACGAGTTGGGCTAGACTTAACGTAAGAGTTAGGAGGGTGTATTGGATTGAGATTCCAAAGGATTTTAATAGATTGTTTTTGGACAAAAAAATTCGTTGGTATTCGATTAATATTTTAATGGATTGAAAAAAAATCACGTGGTATTCGATTAGGATTTTAAAGGATTATTTTAGAATACGTCCAAATCCGTTGGTATTCAATCAGGATTATGAACAACGGAATCACAATCTCGTGGTATTCAAAAATTCGACGATTTTAATTGATTTTCTATTGGTGTGGATTTCGTGAGACTTTTTAGTAAAAAATATAAATAAGATGTCTCTCTCACAATCTCACCCTAACCCCCAATTTGACTGAAATTCGGCTCTGCAAAAAAAAAAAGAGCATATTTTTGAGCGATTTTCATCACAAAATAATCCAGAAATAACAAACCAACGAGATTAATATAATCTATCTCAAAAATAACATATTTTGGAGCCATTTTTTAAGAAATTTTGGAAGTTTAAAAAGTGATTTTTCAAGTTATGGGTTGCGGTTTTTCTCTGCACAAAAACATGTGATTTTTGTATTAAAAATAACATAAAATAGTGGAAAAATAACAGGGGAAGTAAAACCCTCAAACCAATTTTCATTTTACATCAATGAAACAATATGAATTTATAAAGAAAGATTGGAACTTTCATAATATGAACCCTATATTTCGTAACAATACATTCATGAATGAAATTCCTTCACTGTAGGAAACGATTTCAAACAATTTTTTTGTCAATAGATTACTAAAAACTTGTTTCTCAAAAGCCCCAAAGCAATTTAAGGTTTTAATGTATCGACAGAAATGTTTTTGAGAAATTTTCTAAACTTTCATATAATTAAATCCAAAATTTCAGATTCAAAATTTTCTTAGAATATTCAATGAAAATATGCATATGATATATGGTTAGAAAACTCTCATCACGTAAAACAAAAACTCCAAGATTTTCAAGATCAATTGCAAAAAATTCCAAACGAAATTTTATCATGAACTTTAGGTTCTATATGCAAATTTAGAATTATTTTTAGAAAACTCTCATCACGTAAAACAAAAACTCCAAGATTTTCAAGATCAATTGTAAAAAATTCCAATCGAAATTTTATCATGAACTTTAGGTTCTATATGCAAATTTAAAATTATTTTTAGAATTAAAAAAATTGAGTCTTATAATAATATATGTATAACTTTGATGGCAAAAAAATTAATTTAATGCTTTTTTAATAAATTAGTTACACATTTATTACAGTTTTGGAAATAATTACATATTTATTGCACAATACGACGCCCATTTTGGGCGTCATCAATGACGCCTAAATTGGGCCTCACTCAAGAGGCAATCACGCCTAATTTAGGCGTCACTTATCAGGTCTGTCATATTTTTTTCCAAAAAAAAAAAAATTTAATCATAAAACTTTTGAAAGCCATAACTTTTTACTCGGGTATGCAAATCAGATATTTTTTTTTTGATTGCACATAACTTTTCGAGATCTACGCAATGACATCTCATTTGACATATTTTATTTTTCACAAACACAATTTTAATTTGCAAGAATTGATATTATAAGAGCGGTTAAACCCAGAAGCCTCTGAGTTCTGGGTTTGTGATTTAATATAAAAAAATAAATAAAATTTTGATTTGTGATTTAATTTTTTTTATAATAAATTTTTTTTTTATAACAAAAAATTGGTTTGTGATTTAAATTAAAAAAATAAAATTATTATTAATAAGGAAAACAAAATAAAGATTTGATTTGTGATTTAAACTAAAAAATCAATTTGAAAAATCTGTAGAAATAAAGGAAATAATTAAATAAATATTCTAAATCTCTAAGGAAGAAAGATATTATTTTTGAAATTAATGATTAATTCTATAAGCTTATGGGTTATTATTCGTGGTCTGAAATTAATGATAACTTATGAATGTTTTTCAAAAATAAAATTACCTAAATTAGGCGTGATTGCCTCTTGATTGAAACTCAATTTAGACGTGATTGATGACGTGTCAGGCGTTGACATGTGTCACATTTTTAAACTCAGAATCATCTGAATTCTGCGTTTGTGATTTAATATAAAAAAGAAATCAAGATTTGATGTGTGATTTAAATTAATATTTTTATTATAAAAAAATTTAGTTTGTGATTTAAATTAAATATAACAATTATTATTAATAAGGAAAACAAAATAAAGATTTGATTTGTGATTTAAACTCAAAAATCAATTTGAAAAATCTGTATTAATAAAGGAATAATTAAATAAATATTCTAAATCTTTAAGGAAGAAGGATTACCTGATTTAAATTTAAATTATGTTTGTGATAAATAAAATATATCAAATGATATGTCATTGTGTAGATCTCGAAAAGTTATGTGGAATAAAAAAATAATTATCCGATTTGGATACCTGAGTCAAAAGTTTTATGATTAATTTTTTTTTGAATAAAAATATGACACGTGTCAACACCTGAGGAGTGACGCCTAAATTAGACGTAATTGCTTCCTGAGTGTTGCCCAATTTAGGCGTCATTGGTGACGCCCAAATTGTGCGTCTTATTGTGCAATAAATGTTTAATTATTTCCATAACTGTAATAAATGCGTAATTAATTTATTAAAAAGCATTAACTTAATTTTTTTGCATAACTTTGATACCAAATGAAGTAGACAAATTTCAACCCATTAGATACGTGAAAAACTGTTGTTTAGTAATTTTGGATGTTTGTGAAAAATTATATTATGTTTTACTGATTGAGAAACTTATATTAGGTTTTATTTTTTTTATTAATTTCATTGCATTTCTTTGTTTTTTTATGGGGAATATTATACTTACAACCTATTTTGGTTTATAACTTTTTACACTCATATCTTAACCGTTGATTTCCGTCAATCAATCGTTATTATTTTCGCAAATCACACTCATTCATTAATATTTAATTTGGAAGTTAATTGTTCATATATGATTATTATTTTCGCAAATCAAACGCAAAATCGTTCATATAATTTTTTAAAATTTTATAAATTCATATCGTCCTTCCAAATCTTATGAATTCTATTAAAATTCTTTAAAATTCAATACTATGAATCCTTAATAGTAAATTCTTTTTTAAAAAAAATCTATAAATACTCTCAAATTCTAATATTTGTTAATAACCTGGACCTCTGTCGCTTGAGTTTTGTGTTTTGCTGTCTCTTCTCTGTCGCTTGAGTTTTGTGCTGTATCAACCTCTGTTTGACACGAATGGCGAATATTGCTGTTCGTTTCTTGCTAAATAAGTTGCCACTCCTTATGGAGAAATTGACACCTCTCCTTCTGGATGAATATAAGTCACTTTCTGGGGTAAAAGATAAAATTAATTCCCTCACCAAAGAGCTCCAGTTAATCGACTTATTCCTCAAGAGCTCCGAGGGGAAACGCGACAACGATTTTGTGAAACTATTGGCGACCCAGATAAGAGATGTTGTCCGTCACGCTGAGGATGTGATTGACACCTACGTTGTCAGTGTCATCGAACACAGAAGCAAGAACGTGTTTAAAAAGTCACCACACTTGATCGAGCTTCATGACGTTGATCTTCAGATAAAGAAGATCAAGAGCGGCATTGAAGAAATCTATGAAAAGAAGGGGAGATACAGCATTGGAGAAGACGAATTTAGAAGAGAAGCAGAACAAGAAGTTATGGAATCACTCCGTGAAAGGAGGAGTGACGTGGAGGAGGAACATGTGGTGGGCTTAGTTCTTGATGACGACAGTGCTGTAATTAAGCAGCTCAAGGAAACTGATTCACGTCTTAGAGTAGTTTCCATAATCGGTACAGGTGGGTTGGGCAAGACCACACTTGCAAGGAAGATCTACAACAACGCTGAGGTGAAGGAGTTGTTTCCTTGCAGTGCTGCTTGGGGTTACTTGTCTGTTCTGGATGGCCCAAATATTGGGCGGCCCAACTACACAGGCCCAACCCTCAGCTGGCCCAATCACTCAAGCCCAGCCACAGCCTTGCCCCACGTCAGCCCTTAGGGCTGACATGGACCCCCTCAACCCCCAACGTAGCAGCAGGCCCAAGGCATACACCAAAATGTCCCATCTTGGAACGCCTGCCGTTGAAGGCGACTACGACAGAAACCACAAAGGGAAACTCCCCCTTTGCCCGGTGCTGACACCGCCAGAGTGCAGAGGGCACAGCACTGCCACAATGACAGCGCCAGCACGCCTAACACTGCACCATGGGAGTAAATCCCAAGGAGAGTTGACCTCTCCCTCACCAGCTCGCTCCATTTCCCTTATAAATAGCCCTCCGGGGCACACCTGAGAGGTATCTTTTATGTACTGTTGTTATGCCCATTTACTTCCAAGTCATTCTCTTGCTATTAATCTGCCATTACTATTAACTTGCTTGCCTCTTGGAACTATACCTACTAGTCTGGTCATTACCTCGCCTAGTGGTATAATCCATATAGTAACATTACCCTATAGGGTACATAGTGGGCTCACAGAACCTAACGGTACATTGGCGCCGTCTGTGGGAAACTATAAACTTCTATTCCCATTCTCCTACCAAAGATCCACAAGACGTGTTTTACGTTTTGGTAACAAACATGGTCGTCACAACCAGAAGAGCAGAACAAACCAGGGCTGTTACACCTGACGGTCACGTACAAACAATACATTCAAACTCCCCGCCATCGATGCATTCAGCCTTAGCCGAGAGACCCCCCGGCGAGATGCTCCAGCCAGTACTACAATCCGTCGGTCCACAGATGCAAGCAGTCGAACCCAGGATAGCACAGTTAAACCATCACGCGCCTATGCGTGAAATGCAAGGAGAAAACTTGATACAAGACCAACCCCCGCCACCAGGAGTTCGCTTTGGTATGCCTCTTCACACTTTTGCCCCACCAGTCATTCCCGTCCTACGAGCCCATCGTCCGCTACCAGCCCAAAGTCTACCAGTAGCCATGCACAACGATTACCGAACACCGATGGTCACCCCGTTCCCTATGGGACCATACGCCCCATTCCCTCAGCTTTACCCAGCTGGTTTTCCTTTCCAAGGTTACGCTGCCCAACCCCAAAATCCGGCCGTTCCACTACACCAAGTGTCCTATCAAATCCAGGGTCAGCAACCATATGCCGCCCAACAACCTTTCAATCACGCCCCAGCCCTCTCCTACTCCGTTGAAGCTCCTCAACCGCAAATGGACCGCCCCCCCGAAACAACCACCTACGAGTCACGCCAGCTCATACGTCAGGGCGCAACAAACCCCTGACTGATATCCTCCGGTTAACTCCCATACCCCTTGGTTTCAAAGGACCCTCCAATATCACCACATATGTCGGAGATGCCGATCCTTTTGAATGGATCCAGAAGTTTGAGGCAGCCATGACTCTCCATGGTGAAACCGATCTCCTCATGTGCAGGACCTTCCCCACGCTACTTGGGGGACGAGCCTTAACATGGTACACTACTCTACCGACTGGTAGTATCGCTTCGTGGGATGAGTTGGCAAGCAAGTTTCAGCCTCACTTTGCAACCAGTTGCCCCGTGCCGAAATCCGTCCACTCGCTAGAAAAAGTACGCCAACAACAAGGCGAATCCCTCAGGTCCTTTTTAGATCGCTTTGATAAGGAGGCCCTACAAGTGCAAGGCCTGGACCCAAAAGTACAGGTACATATACTTCTTTCGGGTTTACGGCAAGGTGCGTTCGCGTACGAGCTCGCCCGCCACGAGATCACTGACCTGGAAGAAGTCAAGAGGTTGGCCCAGGAGTACATGCGAATCAAAGAGTACAAAGGAAGTCGAGTCGAGGACACCCACGGTCAAGAAAAGGCACTCGGTAAACAAAAGAACCAAATGGAAGAGAGTAAAAAAGGTAATAAACCAGCCAAATATTCAAACCGCCCTTCCGGGCGTGATACATCAGGTCGTCAGACACACGCCGTCCTACAAACGGAGTATAAAGAAGAATCCAAGAACACCCAACAGTCTCAGAACCCGCCTGAAGAAAACATCATGTACTGCAAGTTCCATCGCAGCAACGGTCATAACACTGACCAGTGCAGGCACCTCAAAGACGAAATCGATGAACTCATCAAAAGCGGAATGCAGAGGCGAGGAGGAGACGGCTCACGCCCTTCGGGAACAGGGAGGCGATATCGAGAGCGCAGCAAGTCGCCTGAAAGAAGGAGAACGCGTCAACCTAGATCCAGACCCTCCTACAATCGTGACAGGAGAGAAGATTCCCCCAGGAATCGTAGAGCGCAATCAAGTCCAGACCGTAGAGGAAGGCGCGAAGAAGTAGACGAAGATTCAGCCGCGGTGATCAACATGATTTCAGGCGGGCTGAGTGGAGGAGGAGAGACTGCGAACGCTAGAAAGAAACACTTGAAGCAGTGTCTGGCGGTCGCTGGCAAAGTGATCAGCAAAGAAAAGCACAGTCCTAGTCCAACAAGGCCTCAAATTGTCTGGGACGCCAGCGATTTAGGCGACGTCCTCCCAGGACATGACGACCCGCTCGTCATTCAAGCTATAATCGCCAACTTCGGCGTTAATCGCGTTTTTATTGACCACGGCAGCTCAGCCGATATTTTGTTTTTACCATGCTTTAAAGCGTTAGGGTTCACTGTTGATAGTCTAACTCCTGTTACAGGTGAACTCTCAGGTTTCAACGCTACCACCACAAAGCCACTGGGAGTGATTACCTTGCGGCTCTCCCTTGGAACGCCGCCCACCTCACGATCCGCAGACATCCAGTTTTTGGTGCTCGACACCCCATCAGCTTACAACACCATTCTTGGTAGAAGGATGTTTGCTGCCTTCGAGGCAAGCATTTCACACCCCCACTTGGCAATGAAGTTCGTTGCCCGAACAAAGTCGCCACAGTGCGAGGAGACCAGACGATAGCCCGAAGCTGCTACAACATATCCTTACGGCCAATGGCCAAAGCTAGCTTCAGTGATGAAAGGGCGCTCAAGCAGGGGACGACGTCGCCATCAGAAAGAAATCTCGGCGAGAAGTCAAAAGAGCGTGACCAATGTTTTTTGGTAGAATTTGACGCTAGAGACGATCCGCGCGTGGAACATGACAGACCCACGCCGGATGGAGCATTGGAACATGTTGTCTTAGGAGATGCGGATCATCAAACAACAACCATCGGGGCCACCATCGAACCAGAGATGAAATACAAGTTAATCAAGTTGCTCAAGGAAAACAAAGATTTGTTTGCATGGAAGCCGTCTGACATGCCAGGTATCAATCCAAACGTTTGCTGCCACCGTTTGTCGGTGGATCCCAAAGCCAAGCCAGTCGCCCAGAAAAAGAGGAAATTCGGTCCCGACCGCCAGAGTGTGATTGATGAAGAGGTCAAAAGGCTATACGCCGCCGGGTTCATCAGGGAAATCAAGTACACAACTTGGTTATCCAACCCAGTATTGGTAAAAAAGCCAAACGGCGCATGGCGAATGTGCGTTGACTACATTGACCTAAACAAAGTCTGTCCAAAAGATGCTTACCCTTTTCCTAGCATCGATCAGTTGGTTGACAACGCGTCCAGATTCAAAATGCTATCATTCATGGACGCATACTCTGGTTATAATCAGATCCCACTTCTTGAAGAAGACCAAGACAAAACGGCGTTCATCACTCAGAACGCCAATTACTGTTATACAATGATGCCCTTCGGTCTAAAAAATGCTGGGGCCACTTACCAAAGGATGATGAATGAAGTATTCAGAGACCTGATTGGCAATTGCATCGAAGTATACATCGATGACATGATCGCCAAATCAAGAACGTCGGAACAACATTTGGTTGATCTACAAGGTGTTTTTGAAAGACTCAGAAAATTCAACATGCGCTTGAATCCAAGCAAATGCGCCTTCGGAGTTCCCGCGGGCAAATTCCTAGGCTTTATGCTCACTGAAAGAGGCATTGAAGTCAATCCTGATAAGTGCAAGGCAGTGATTGAAATGCGAAGCCCGCAAACAATCAAGGAAGTTCAGCAACTCACAGGAAGGTTAGTAGCTCTCACTCGTTTTCTGGCCAATTCGGCTCACAAATCGCTCCCTCTTTTTGGCTTACTAAAAAAAGGAACCGCCTTTCGGTGGTCGGAAGAATGTGAGAACGCCTTCCAGGAATTCAAAAGGGCACTCTCTTGTCCACCAGTGCTCGCCAAACCAGACGATGGAGAAATGCTTTATTTGTATCTCGCCGTAGGTACCGAGGCAATCAGTGCAGCCCTTGTCAAAGAATCAATGGAAGGACAAAAGCCAGTATATTTCATCAGCAAGGTTCTACAAGGAGCAGAGCTTCGATACCAACAGGTGGAAAAGGTAGCTTTGACGCTTATCTTTGCCGCACGGCGTTTAAGACCGTACTTCCAATGCCATCCAATCACCGTCAGGACCAACCAACCAATCCGCCAAGTCCTGCACAAGCCAGACTTGGCGGGAAGAATGATGTCGTGGGCGATCGAGTTGTCCGAGTATCAGATCACCTATGAGCCTAGAACTGCCATCAAAGCTCAAGCACTCACTGATTTCATTGCAGAAATGACGCAGCTCTCCCCGCCCAAGAACCAAGCCATGGGAACACCGTTATCAGAAATGTGGAAACTATACGTAGATGGCTCATCAAACGCCAAAGGCTCCGGTGCTGGGATGATAATAGAAAATCCGGATGGCGTGGCTATCGAACATTCTTTATCGTTTGAATTCAGCACCACAAATAATCAAGCAGAATATGAGGCCATGATAGCTGGTCTGATCCAAGCAAAGGAAATGGGGGCCAACCGCCTCAAAGTCTTTAGTGACTCCCAGCTGGTGACATTTCAAATCTCCGGCGAGTACCAGGCCAAAGGACCACTGATGTGCAAATACTTACAAAAAGTCAGAGAGCTAATCGGAAGTTTTGAGAGTGTTGAGGTGGAACATATCCGGCGTACTGAAAATACCCGGGCAGACATTCTGTCCAAACTGGCAAGCACTAAAAGCCCAGGCAACAATCGTTCTATAGTCCAGCAGAGTATGCCAAACCCGTGCGTAGTCATGTGTATCTCAGAGCAAGCCCCTGGAGCCACTGAAGAAACCTGGATCACGCCCATTGTCAATTATTTAGCTGAAGGGGCCGTACCTCCCAACCAAAAAGATGCTAGAAAGATAATTCGTAGAAGCGCCCACTTCTGCATAGTACAAGGGCGGTTGTACAAGCGAGGACTCTCAACCCCACTCTTGAAATGTTTAAATCCCACTGATGTTCCATACGTGTTAGAAGAAATCCATGAAGGAATCAACGGCCATCACATGGGCGGTCACTCACTAGCAAAGAAGGCGTTGAGAGCTGGATTTTATTGGCCAACTATGGAACGTGATGCTCACGAACACGTCAAAAAATGCGAAAAATGTCAGAGGTTCGCCGACATACATAGAGCGCCGCCAGAAGAGTTAACATCAATCACCACATCATGGCCTTTCTACAAGTGGGGCATCGACATTCTGGGTCCTTTCCCTATGGCAGCTGGGCGAATTCAGTGGCTGATAGTCGCTATCGACTATTTTACCAAGTGGGTAGAAGCAGAACCCTTGGCGACTATAACCTCTCAAAAAGCAAGACGGTTCTTCTGGAGAAGCATCGTGTACCGTTTCGGCATCCCCGGAGAAGTTATCACGGATAACGGCACTCAATTTACCGATGCCAAGTTCCGCGAATTAATGAGCAGCCTGCACATACGACACCACTTTGCTGCCGTAGAACACCCACAATCCAACGGTTTGGTTGAATCAGCCAATAAAATGCTGGGCAAAGGAATTAAAAAGAAGCTAGATGCACACAAAGGGGCATGGATTGACAATCTTGACAACGTCCTGTGGGGGTACAGGACAACCGCCCAGTCATCCACAAAAGAAACTCCGTTTAGGCTGACTTACGGCGCTGAAGCCATGATCCCAGTAGAAATCGGTGAACCCTCCTGGCGGCGAGAGCACGTAACCGAGATCGACAACACCCAGAATTTGAAAGAAGCATTAGACTTGCTGGACGAACTCAGAAGGTCTGCCGCCGAGTCTGATCTCCATTCTAAAGGAAAATCAGCTACTTACTACAATAAGAAGGTCATCCCCAGGAGTTTCCAAGAAAAAGATTTGGTGCTTCGAAGAGCAGACGTTGGAAATAAAAACGCCCGCGAAGGAAAGCTCGCCCCAACATGGGAAGGACCTTACAGGGTAACCAACAAATTAGGTCATGGAGCCTACTACCTAGAAACATTAGAAGGAA